CTCACAGGGATATGCCAGCCTCTGCCTCCCAAGTCTAAAGATGTGTGCCACCATGACCGACTCAATTTCTTTTTAAATTATGCCATGGCATGCATGTGGAGTTCAGAGGACACCTTGTAGGATCTGTTCGCTCTCTCCTACCATATGGGTCCTAGGAATTGAATTCAGGTCATCAGGCTTGGCAGCAAGTATCTTTACCCACTGAACCACCTCCCTGGCCCTCATTTTTTAGAAAGAAAGACAGAGGCAGAGAGAGAGAGGGAGAGAGAGAGAGAGAGAGAGAGAGAGAGAGAGAAGGAGGCAGAGGCAGAGGAGGAGGAGGAGGTAGGGGGATTGGGAGAGAGGAAGGGGAGGGGAGACTGAAGAAACCAAGCTGACTCTAAAGCATGCCTTCCCAGCCTCCCCACAGGCAAAGCTGGCTGTAACTGGAGCCCAGTTTAGCCTCTAGGAACCAGACCTGGGATGCAAATCTCAGAGCCCAACTCCAGCCCATAGATTAGGCTTCATGCCCCTCACCCTCACAACAGAGAACTTCCCAGCAACATAACAACACATGCTCCAAGCAGTGCCAACATCATGTTTATTATTTTCCATTTGTTTGCTTTCTATGGCAAGTGAAAAAATAATTTAAACCAATTATATGTACAGAGGCTTGGTTACTCTTCCCAAGAACTTCCAGAAAGACCTCAGCCCCTTAGATATCAAAAGGGTCACCTTTAACATCTGTACAAAACTCCACCTAGAAAAGTCTCATGTGTAGAAAGGTTGTCTTTATTACAAGCATCACATTTTGGGGACAGGAAAGGAGTCAGAGTGGGAGGTGGGGAAAGTGTGTAAGATGGGGCTACACACACACACACACACACACACACACACACACACACTTGCCCAGGGGCTATCCTGGGTGAGAAGGATGCAGCTGAGAGCTCAGGTGATCTGCAGTGGGGTCTCCAACATCTCCATGAGGAAAGTGTCAATGGGGGTATCCCCAATAAGCTTGAAGAAGAAGAGGTGCTCCAGGCATTTCAGGCCGATGGAGCGCAGAGCTGGGAGGCGTAGCAGCAGCTTGGCAAACCTGTGGAGAAGCCAAGGAGCACTGTGACCAAGGAAGGACATGCAGGAGGTACCTGCTGGTGTCGACAGGAGTGGTTTGACTGATCTCTGCCAAACTGAGGCAGAAGAATCTTTAAGTGGAGACCAATGGAACTGGAGGATCTGTAATCCCGCAGGGCTTCAGAAACTGCTCAACAGAGGGCTGGTTAATGTTAACGGCAGAAGTGGGAATCCATTACCTCATGGCAGTCTTGAATTCTATAACATCTCCCAGAAGTGCCCTCAGCCCCCATCAGTCATAGGACCATTTGGATGACATTGCTCATCTTGCCAACCCTGTTCCTGTGTTCCTAAGGGTCCCACCAAGATTAGTGGAAGCCCTCAGAGCAGGGCATGGCACAGGAGTGTGCTATTCCTAGAATAGCTACCACTACTAGATGAACACATCTAAGGACCTACCATGAGCCAGGCATTATGGCATGTTCTGGGGTACAAAACTGAGCAAGAGCCAAGGTATGCCCTGTTCTTGAGAGACTGCACTTCTCCTCAAGGCACAGCTGGTCACGTTAGGCTATGTGACCTCAGTCTGCTTCCATGAGCAAAGTTCCTTTTTCCATTTTTAACCACTCACTACCAATTATTATGAACAGCTCATCCTCAGTGCATCTCTTTAGGAAGAGGGGAGGAGAGAAACTAGCAGTCAGCCTCCGAGGAACCAGCCTGTATGGGGAGACAAGACACATATAACTTCATGCACACAGATCACACATCCTCATACATATGTGACCCATACATGTATGTGTACTCTCACTACTCTCTCTCACACACATGTACAACTCACACATACTCTCACATACCCCCTTCTGTGGTTTAAATGTGAAATGTTTCCCATAGGTTCGTGTGTTTGAATACTTGGTCTCCAGCTAGCCACACTGTTTGGGTTGTGGAATCTTTAGGAGGTGGAGCCTCACAGGAGAAAGCGGGGGCGGGTCTTGAGCTTTTATAGCCTGGCCCCACTTCCTGGTCACTCTCTGCTTCCTGAGTGTGGATGCATTGTGATCACCCAGCCTCCTGCCACTATGTCTTCTCTGTCTGCTGCCATGTCTTTCTCACCATGATGGACTGTATCCTTCAGGTATTTTAAGGCAACATGATGAACCCTTTCTCACTTAAGTTGCTTTTTGTTGACAGCAACAAGAAAGTAACTAAGACACCCCCAACATGAGCTTGTACATTCACCTTCATATACACATGCATACTCATGTACACACGTGCATGCACACACTTTTGCACCAACACCTATTCATGTGTAGGCTGCCGTACATGCACAACTTCACACACACAGGTGTGCAAACATCCTTATTCTCTTGTACAAGTTTTCACGTTTGCCTGCACACATACTTTTCTATAACAATGACGTCCACTATGTGTCCGCAAAAGGGGCACATAGGCACAGGAAAGAGCTTGTCTCACACCATATCCCTGTTAGGTCCCTTGCTTTGAAACATCTTTCGTTTTGCCTGTGTGGCCCTCTACATCTCTCAGGATCCTCTCTTGCCAGTGAAGCCCATTTCTAACATTGTTAATGCTACCAGAAATTAAGTTGCTCTATTTACAACTTCCAAGAGAAAACACAAAGACCAAATCACATTATTTCCTGTAGCCCTGAGTTGGAGATTTCTGACTTGAGTTGGATCTTTCCTGAGTGTTTATCATTATTTCATGAAAAAGTGTTCCTTGTAAGTGTGCATATTTCTAGATCCATGTGCTGTGATGCTTAAATATACAGTAATAGGGCTGGAGAAATGGCTACATAGGTAAAGTGCTTGCCACACAAACATGAGGACCTGACTTTGATGCACAGAACCAACATTTAAAAAGCCAAGTGTAGTGGCGCACACTTGTAATCCCAGCACTGGGAGGTAGAGACGGGGGGGGTATCCCTGGGCTCATCCACCAGTTAGCCTTGCTTAAATGGTGAGTTCTAGACTAGTGTGCTAGACAGCTTCAGTTGTCAACTTGACACACCTGGATGGAGGGAAGCTTAAATGAGGAATTTCCTCCATTGGATTGGCATGTGGCCATATCTGTGGGGCATTTTCTTGATTACTGAGTGATGTGGGAAAGCCCAGCCCACTGGGGGTGGTGCCACCCCTGGGCAGGCGGTCCTTTGTTATATAAGAAAGCAGGCTGAGCAGAGGCCAAAGAAGCAAGCCGGTAAGCAGTGTTCCTCCACAGCCAGTGCTTCAGCCTCCAGGTTCCTGCTCTGACTTTCCTCAGTGATGAACTGTGACCTAGGAAATGTAAGATAAAACAAAACCCTTTCCACCCCAATTTGGTTTTGTCAGCGTTTTTATCACAGCAATAGAAAGTAACTAGGGCAACCATTCTCAAAAAACAAGGTGGACAGCGCCTAAGGAATGATATCTGAGGTTGACTTCTGGCTTTCACAGAATGTAATACACACATGCATCCATACAAAGACACAAATAAAATAAAATAAATGTAATAAAAATACAGCAATAAAAGACAAGCAAATAAGCACCATCTGAAAACAGCAGAGAAATTATGGAGCACATTTTTTTGACATGGAAAAAAATAAGGGTCTATGCCACCCCAAGACAAACTTCAGAACTCTTGATGATAAAGCACCAGAAAGCACAGGAAACGTGTCCTCTGCAGCCAAGAGGCAGTATGACAAGGAGGCTGGTCTCCTGACCCAGCTCTCTTGAAAAAGAACTTCTCTTTAAAGTGCAAGGTTAGACCAAGATTAGCTCCAAACTGTTAGTTTTCTGAATGCCACCCACGCTTTCTGTGCTGGGTTTAAAAACTGAGCCCAGGGAGAGTAGAATAAACCCATCCATCACTGGGCACAGCACAGGGGCGGCCACTGCATTCCTCTCTGGTCTGTTGGAAGCAAGATGGAGTCCTTGAAGGTGCTGGCTGTGTGTGCAAGAAGATGCATGTGAGTTCTGCACCCCACTGAGCTGCCAATGTGTGCTTCTGACTTTTTCAAAGAACTTGAGCCCTACAAGATGCACTTCTAAATTGTGTCACCGGGGGGCAGCACTCCACCACTGTGAAAAGCACCCTGGCTGGGCAGTGCCAGGATCCCCTTTGGCCCATTTCTAAAAGTCAGAGGTGATCAGCTCTCCACACTTACCTGCCTGGCTAAACCAAGTGACATCCCTGATTTGCTTGCTGAGGCTCCCATAAACTAAGTCAGAGGTTATTCTCTGAGCCCGACAAGCCTGGTAGCACATGGGACACAGCTTCTGTCACCTCCTGAGCTTCTAGACAGAGCTCTCTTCAGTGTCTGGAGGTAGCCCAGTGTCAAGTTTCAATTTTTAAAAAACGATATTTAGAAACAACCTAGATGCCAACTGTGGAGCAGTGACTAAATGCCTGAAAATGCAGCCACTTTGCAAAGCCATGGAAAATGATAAGTTCTTTGTTTTCAACAATCTGGCTAAAGGAAGGAAATAATACACCAAAAGATGTAATCTCACATCTGTAGATACACATTTCTATGCACAGAAACACAAGGACAGTGGAACAAAATGTGCCAAAATATTTATAATCAAATTTTATGACCATTTTTAAAAATCAAGTTGTTTTCCTAACAACGCAGGCATTGCTGCTATAATTGGGAAGAGAGTCAAGTTATTCTGGATTTTGCTTTTGTTCTTAAAGATTAAAAGCAAGACCAATTCCAGGGAAAGGACAGCTATGGCAGGCTACAGTGTGTGTGGCAGAAATGTACCTAACATTACTGTAGAGCTAGATTTGGTAGAAAACACCCAACCCAAGGCTTCCCATTAATACTGCTTGCCCAGGGCTTGTACCTGCCAGAGGTGGAGTCATGTCCTTTTCAGTATCTCTGGAGCAGGGGTCTTTTGATCTTTCCTATGACCAGTAAAGGACAGGCCACCAGATGGTCACTCAACTCCACTGACTTCTTCCTTGATGTTCAGCAGCTACCATCCCAGCATCCTGTAGAGTTGACTGAACCATATACGTGTCAGCCAGTGGAGGTGAGTGAGAGAGTTGGGAACCTCTCAGGATCTATGTGTCATCACATAGCCTCTCTCCCCACTCTGTTCCTCCGCCTACCATCCATCACCTAGGGACAAGTCGTAACATGGGGCGTGGCAGAGGTACAAGAAGGAAGGAGCCCAGGTGCCTGAGAGGTGGCAGAGAAGAGACCCATCTCTGCACTGTCTACCCTGACTTACAAGTGAGTAAGAAGAAAAACTTCCATTGGGTTAAGTTACTGGCTTTGAGAGGTCTGTGTCACAATTTAAGTTCTAACTAATTGTATCTAAGGGCTAAAACCTATTCACTAGATTTCTTCATAGCGCCCGACAAAGCACCAATCCAGCCTTTGCTGAACAGTTGGTAGATACTGGCTTGTGATTCAGGAAATCAGACTTCACATAAGAACAAAAGTCCTTAGTGAGACTGGAGGGCCTGTACAATTAATCCTATGAGAAAAATATTATCTTATACAGTCTTCTGTTTCATTTTCTGAGATTTGAGGATCACATTTTCTCTTTTTAGTTACAGTTTACAGAAAAGGAAACTCTTTGTTTACTGTACTTTGGAGGAAATTGTTGAACAAATTTGTTTCAAACAAACAGGTATAGTGCTAGATGGTCCAACAGGGTCATACGGGTGGATGCCTGAGGAAGCCGTGTCCCTGGGCTCCCAAAGCCTGTCCTTTCCACTGCATGGAGTTCCTAGGGAGCAGACTGTAAGAGCAGTGCAGTCCCTTCCCAGAGAGCTGGGTCGACATCTCACCTCCACTGGGGACCAGTTTTGTGATCTTAATCAAGTGACTTCTCCTTTCTGAGCCTCCATTACTTGTTAGAATGGAAATCATAATTCTTGCATCCATCCCTTCATTTCTGTGTTGGTCCAGTATGCATACATATTGGACCATAGATACATACTCTAGTCCTCCCTGCAGAGGATATATCCTAATACTCTGTGTGCATGTCTGAAACTGAAGCCGCTACCCCGTTACATACACATGTATATATGTACAGTAAGCGAAGAGTTTCCTTCTTTGCAAACTGTAGCTAAAAAGGGAAATACGATTCTCAAATCTCAGAAAATTAGTACATATATGTATATATACCAATAAAAAAGTTAATTTATAAGGCTGGGCATGGTGGTGTACACCTTTAATCCCAGCACTTGGGAGGCAGAGGCAGGAGGGTCTCTGTGAGATCGAGGCTAGCCTGGGCTACACAGCAAGTTCCAAACCAGATGAGGCTACAAGGGAGACCCTCTCTCAAAAAGGTTAATTTATCAGTTAGGCACAGTAAAAGAGCAGCAATCATATAAAAAAAAAAAAACATTATAACCATATATTCTAATAAAAGTATTTAAAACATGAATTTTTATTTTTGAAATATTTAATTTAATGTTCTCAAACTCTGGCTAATTGCTGGTAACTAAAAGCAAAACCAAGCCCAGGGGCAAAGGCAGGGACAGGCTGTTCTGCTCTATTTGTCAGCCTTTGCTTTAAGTACTGATATCAGGAGAGTGACTGGTGAGCAAGACAGACAAGAGCCCCTCACTCAGGCTTGCATCTTACTGTGGATGCAAGCAACATTTGGAAAGTTCCAGACACTACCTGCCACACACGTGCTTGGTAAATAGGGACGGAAGTAGTTGTGCTCTCATCAGCACTACTAGTCTCTCATTCTCTCACCTGCCTGGTTGTTCTGGATACTTTTGCTTGGTATAGGCCTCAAGAGTGGCATAAACTTTCTCACGCAGTGTCTCCACCTCCGAGGGATTGGACAGACCCTTGGCATCTGCAAAAAGAAATAGATTTAATCTTTGGCTATCACCTCACCAAGACACCCTTCCCTAGAGAGTGTCCCCATTATGCTGGCCAACTTCCTTAGGGTTAGGAAAGATACATGGGACACATGGATGGGGACAATTGGGAAATAAGCAAAGCTGGTCATCTGTGTCTGATGGCTGTCCTTTCTGTGCCCAAGAGTTTTAAGAGTTATAAACTGTAAATAGTCAAATGAACCCTCCACTGGCTTAAAGAGAGTCCTACTTTAGACTCTAGAATGTGGTGCCCGTGCACTTATGGGGTGCTTCCTACCTGCTGGGCATGGCTGAGTGATAAGCTGGGGTGGGAAATTAAATCCACATATGGCCTGCATCAGAGCCTGTTCCTAATCCTGGAGACAATGTGTGTGCACTGTATCTGAAGACTCAACAATCTGGACTCACAGCAGCATCTGATGAGGCCCGTCACTTCTTCCTTCTCAAAATACGTTTCGCTCTGGACCTCCAGAATCCCACTCTCTAGTTTCACCCTACCCACTGACCTCCTTTACCATTTCTTCCTCGTCCCTCTGGCTTGTTAAAGTCTCAGTCCCCAGCCCTCTTCTCTGCTTGATCTCCTGCCAGGTTCACAGCTACCTCCTGTGCTGGCAGAGATCCATAGAGCTCATCTGCACAATCTTCAGTCCTGGCTTCTCCTATGAGGCCCATACTCTTGGATGTCTACTGTTCATCTCCAAGTTCAAAGACATAGTCTTGATTCCCACCCACTCACCCTTAGAACTTGCTTCCCCTGGAGTTTTCTCCATGTCAAGAGAACAAGAACTCCATTCCTTCAATTGTTCAGGAAAACAAAATGAAACAACCCTGAGTATATTTGACTCCTGTCTTTCTTTCTCATCCTATATCCAATTCATCTGCAGATCCCACTGACTTTACCTAGACATATCCCAGGATCTGACCACTTTTTTTTTTTTACCATCACCTTCCCTTCCACAGTGGGTCACTGTATTTCTCACCTTCCCCCAGCTGCCCCCCTAAATGCAACTCCACACCTAGTCAAGACACTTTCGGGGATAGAGGCGATGAAGAGAGGACTCTGCACTCTGCCGGACTCCAGGCTCAGACTGCTCTGTGTCTCAACTGAGCTTGGGGGAGGGAAGGCAGAACGAAGAGGACAATGTCAGAGTCCTAGAGGTCAACCTTGGAGGACTGACCTACACACAGCTGCTAGGATTAAACCAGTCACCTGGGTTAAACAGCACAATGGCTCGCAGGCACCCCAGCTCTGACTTATCCATCTGCATGTCTTTCATCTTGGAAACCAGCTCAGTGAGAACTCTGTTCACCGGGAACAAAGGCAAGGAAAGAGAAAAGCATGAGTTTCAGGCCAATGACCAACCAGAATAATTCTAACAATACTTGTGATTGGCCTACTAACTTTCTAGACATTGCTCCAGGTAGTTGGGGCACAGAGATGAAGAACATGAAGTCCCTCATCTCAAGGAGCTTACAATTTAATTGAAGAAACAGGTGTAGAAACAAGCTGAATGGCAAAGCCCAGTGAAATACTGCCTCCAGCAAAGTTCAAGAAGAGCTCACCAAGGAGGAAGCATTAACTCCCAGCAGGGGACAGAAAGGCTTGGAAATGAGAAATGCAACAGGAAAAGCCAGTCTAGTGCACTGCATGTCCAGAAGAACTGGCAGAGGGCAGCACGGGTTAAAGGACAAACATCTCGAGGCACTATGAAGGTGCGGATCCTCCCGAACATAGTGTGACAAAGGACAGGGAAGAAGTAGACACATCTTAGGAGAGCATGTCACCCAATAAGACCATTTAGGAGGATGGGGAAAGAGGCCCTGGGGTCCTGATACTGGACAGAGAGATTATTTTCATCTTTATCTTTCTCTCTGCCAGCAACCCAGCCTTTCACCCCCAAGTTACCAATCTACTCACCGTTTCCTATAGCATTGTTTAAGGGAGAAAATCTCTGTCATGGGGTCACTATCTGAGCAACTTGAGTGTGCTCCTGCCATAACCTAGAGAGTCTAGGGTCCAGAGAGAAAGTCTAGAGCCCAAAATAAACCTTAGCCAAACTTACCAAGCCTCTTAAAAGAAAAGGTTCAGATTCTGGACCCTTTTTCCATCTCTGGCCCCTATGATAAACTGTTCTCCCTCTCCAACCCCAGTTTTCTAGCTGATATCAATGATCTGAACTCTTCATTGGAAACCCAAATATAGCAGGCTCTTCCATCTGCCCTGCAATGATGCTGGGTTCATTTTATTATAATCACCTTTGCCAATATCCCTCTTTCATTCTCCAGATTTATATTTTCACATGCTTAATAGTCTCTGGAAACTAGACATGGTAGCTCACACATATAATCCCAGCACTTGGGAAGCTGAGGCAGGAAGATTACCACAAGTTTGAGGCCAGCCTGAACTATGGAATAAGGTTGTGTCTTAATATAAAAAATAGATTACAGATTGTCTTGTGAACTTGTTTGGGTTGCCTATCGTACACCAGTATTACACAGAGCTGTATACACACACACACACACACACACGTTCACATACACACAGGAATGTGTGTATACACACATGTGCATATATACGCTCGCAAATACTGGGAGCAGAAGGGAGTCACACATACACCAGTATTACACAGAGCTGTATACACACACACACACACACACACACACGTTCACATACACACAGGAATGTGTGTATATACACATGTGCATATATACGCTCGCAAATACTGGGAGCAGAAGGGAGTCACACCTGTCAAAGATGGAACCAACACCAGCACTGTGAGCACTGCTCCGGTGGACATGGAGGCCTGTGGCCAGCAGGATGCCGTCCTGGACGGAAACCGAGCGGTGGGAGAAGGAGGCAATCAACAATTCATTCCACCCTGCAAGCATAGAGAGGAGACCATTAGGGAAAAGCCATCATTTTCCTGTTTCCTTGACCATTGTCCAATGCGGGGATTATCATCCCTTGTAAGGAGAGCAAAATTGAAAGTCTTGGATGATTAAGACTTAGCTCAAGGTGACATGGCTAATTAGCGACAAAAGAAAAGATAAGGCTGGAGTCTCCTGACTTTATGACTCTGTATATTCCCTCCCCCCACAGTCTGTCAGATTCAGCCTGGAATGACAGCTTGGGGACAGCGACTCTTTTTTTTTTTTTTTTTTTTTTTTAATCAGTTAACAAATATGAACTGAGGCTTTACCAGGCAAGAGTCACTGTGCTAACTGAATGCTAGATACAGCAAATGTACTTCATGGTCTCTGCCCCCAGGACCTGACAAGCTAGTTTTATTTCTTTGTGTTATCTAGAAACACCAGTACAGTTTGTAGCTTTCAGTGGACACCAACGATCATTCATTATCTAACAGAGGTGGGTGAGTGGACTGGTTCCCAATGCTCAGCCAGTCTTCATAAAATCTCCCTGATGGCTCTGTGATGAAAAGAAGATATGGCAGTTGTCAATAGACAGCACAGTGTCCCAGATATGAGAGACAAGAGAAAATGTAGCACATAGAATCTTAAAATAGGAGGCGATCTTGAACCTCGGTAAGTCTGAGCAGAAATCTCTAGCTCTGTGTGTGTGTGTGTGTGTGTGTGTGTGTGTGTGTATGTGTGTGTGTGTATTGTAATATATACACATATGTGTTCTGGTCTATGCATGTGTGTGCACATGTGGGTGTATACAAGTGTCAAGGCTAGAGGAGGACATTGAGTGTCCCACTCTGTCACTCTCCTCCCTGAATCTCAGTTGACAAGAGCTCACTGAACCTGGAGCTCACTGAACCTGGAGCTCGCTACTTTTTAGCTAAGTTGATTGGACAGCAATCCTCCTGTCTCCACTCCACTCAACATTGGAGCTTGGGTTATAGGCATACACAACCTGGCCCAGCTTTTTAATTTGTGTGTGTGCTGGGAATGCAAACTCAGTTCTTCATGCTTGTGCAAGAAGCGTCCTTACCCCACTGTACTGCCTCTGCAGCTCCCCAAATCTCTGGCTTTCTTATCTCACCTGTGGAGTAGGATGATCTCCATTTGCTGATCTCATTACAGGTGTAAGACACTGCTTGAAATTATCCTCAATAAAAATTATTTATGAGTCTTTAGAATTCAATGCAAATTATAAAACCACAGCAACATTTGCAGGAGGAAAGAGCTCTACTCCTCCATGAATGATGTTTCATTTGGGAATGAAAGCTTTCTGTGGGGAAGATCATTCAAACTTACAAGTCTATAAATGCCATAAAAATGAAGACTATATCTCCATCAGGTTATTCATTTTAGGAATCCAAGGGTAATTTCAAAATGTCCACCCAGGGAATTGTCTCAACAGAAGGTGTCCTGATGTCTTACCGGCCCGGAGCAGAATGACCTGGTCCTCCAAGGTGAGGTCTGAGAAATGGGGGATGCGCTTGGCCCACTCAACAAGTGTGAAAAGCTGCTTATCAGCAGCATGGCATATGTTGGTAACAGGGTCATTTGTCTGAAAAAGGAACAGAGCCCTATGAAGGACAGGACCTGGGACTCTAATATACCTCTCTGTCCTCCCCAGCCCCACCTAAGAAATGAAAGCTAGGTAAAGATCTAGGACCACGTACCGAGCTCTCCATGTTCATGTCACCGTAGGATTCTGTCTTTGGTTCAACAGCAAGTTCAGCTTCTAGAATCCTCTCCACCGGCATGTCTTCATGGCCACCACTGGCACATTCTGCCTCACTCTCAGCTCTCTCCCGGCTCCTCTGTCTTTCTTCTTGCACAGCTGGCATGCAACAAGACCAGCAGAGGTTACAGAGTGCCAAGGACAAGTGTCCGATACCTACTACCTAAGCCTCAATTTTCTCCTGTGCACATTGAGACTCATGATGACATTGAACCAGGGACATTGGAATGTTGACACATGAAATGAAGAAAGCAAAGCTGTTTCCTTACGTCTGTACAGAGCTATGGCTTCCTTAGTCTATATTGCTTCCAGTGAATTACCAAGATCATGTTAATCTTGTTTTTTTGAGCTTTAATAAGCTCCTTTGAAGCTGTCTTTGAAGACACCAACTCCTTGCTATCCCTGCAGTGTCCCTTGTCCCTTCTTTACCTTCTACCTCTAATAAGCTGAAAGCATGCAATGGTTAAAGAACAAGGCCATTACTGTAAAAACTCCCCCTGTCAGATCCTATGCATAGCCCTGGCATTCATGTCCCATTAGGCTGGGCCCTTGTGCACCAGCTTGAACACAACATCACCTGATCTGACTTGTCAGGGAAGATCTTCGGGAGCCGACTATGGAGATTTAGTAAGCGAAGGGGTGGGGAGATGTCATCTAGATGACATTTCAGAATGAGCACTGATTTCATGGGTTGGAGAGGGCACATAGGCAAAGATGTGGGCTGGAATTACTTCAGCCTCCCCAAACTTGGGGTTTTCATCAAAATTCACTCCAGCTCTCAGAACCCCTGGTCCATACATTAGGATGCAATGTATGCATTGCTCCCCATGAACACTTCTTGAACAGAAGAGTCTCTTTTGGGTTTCTTTCTATCTAGAAGGTTGTGGCTTCCAGCTTAGTCCCAACAGCAATAAGCAGAATTCAATATCAGAACACAGTTTGCATCCCAAGAGGTAGAAAATTCCACTATAACTTGGAGAAGCTCCTTCAGGAGCAACTTCTCCATTTCTCCACCTCCCTCCCCTCAGTCCACTGCCAATGAGATATAACAAGCTACAGAGGCTGTTTGATGGGCTGGAGCTGGGATGCTGGACCCTGAGTCTCTCTTGTGGCTGATACTGATCTCTCAAGGTTAATCAGAGGAGACCTAAAAATACACCACTAATAACCCCCGAAGCTACGGTAACTGTGTGGCCCAGAGAAACAGAAAGTGCATAGGAAGGAAAGAGAAAAGGAAGAAAGGGGAGAGAAAATAAAGAAAGGGAGAGAGAGAGAGAGAGAGAGAGAGAGAGAGAGAGAGAACAAGAGAAAGAAGAGCAAACAGCAAGTACCTTGGAGTCAAAGAAGTCTTACCAATGTAGCTGTGCCACCTGCTAGGTGACATTGGATCCACTACTTAGCCTACCCAGTCTTACTTTCCTTCTCTGTAAACCTGACATGATAGTAACTAACTGAAGTGGTTTTGTGGGAATTAATGAAATAATTATAAGAAGTTTAATAGAATAATTTTCCTTTCCCTTTGCTTCCCTGCCCTCAGGCTTGTCTCTGGTCCCTCCATCTTCCTGTCTGACCCCTTCCTGCTCCCCTCTCTCTTCCTCTCGGCCCTTCTCAGTCTCACTTTCTGTTCATTCTACCTGTCTGCCTTCATGTCAACCTATGGGAATTATAGTATATATTTTTCTCACAGTTGGATTTTCTGGGTAAGTTGAATTTTCTTGCACTACATTTTTAAGTAAATCGATAGGTTTCTATGTGTCTTGACATTTATAAACAGGTGAAGCAAAGTAAGTCCAGTTCGTTTCGTGATCCTCAGTTCTTCCACAGACTTGTAATACTCTAGGAAAAGGACCTTCAGCCTTCAAAGAAAATAACATTGTCTTCAGGGAATTAGATTCTAATTCTAATTTTGCCATTAACTGAGTGAGAATTTGCTACTCATGCTTCCTGTTCATACTATGAACCCCACTGTTGTAAGTGAAGTAACATGTTATCGATGGATCTTCTACATGGCACACATTCTCAGCTCCTGAGCCAACATACATCAAGGTAGACCCAGGACACTACATCTAAAACTGTACCCAATTCCTACCATTCAGCTTCATTCATCCATGTAGTAAATACTTATTATGCATTTGTAGGTTCTCCAGCAGCCAACATTTATACTTTATACTTAATATTTATATAGATTATTACATTTCAGTTAATTCTTCCAGTAACCCTCTGTGAGCCACAGAGAAACTAGCTAACTTGTCCGGAGTGAAGAGCTCAGACGTGGTAGAGCTGGCATAGGGACCCAGGCTGGCTGCCTCCAGAGTCCAGTTCTAGATTCTCCACTCCAAGTCCAGGACACCAAGAGAGGCCGAACAAGCAAGACAACAGGGTTTCTAGACTATATACAGCCTTGAAGTCAGAGCAAGACTTTTGTCTTTTCTTTCAGTAAAATCAGAACGCTTTGGAGGAGCTGGTGGAGGAATGGCCAGACTTAACCACTTTGTTGACTCTGGTTGCTCTCCTGAGAGGCCACAGAAAGCCAAGGGTAGAAACAAGGAGGCAGTCTGGGGTGCTGCTTGACTCTCTCAGTCCTTTCCTCCTCTGTGAGCTGGTTCCTGTTGGCTAAGGTATTCTGAAGGCTTCTCCCTCCTGCCATGTTTCCTCGTTGGCAGTGTCCACTCTAAGCACTGCCTCAGTGACCTTTTCCTTCATTGGTTCTTTCCACCAGACTCTGTCAATCTCACAGCCCAAGGAGTCTGTGGAACTGACTCAGTGAGTTGCTCCTATCTTCAAAGGCAGGACTTCCTCTACAATCTGTTAAGATTCCCTGCTAACACCAGGTACCTGCTCAAGCCCTCTAGTTAATAACTGCTCACTTCAATTTATTTGTGTTACTTAACAGAATGACATTTCGATCTTTTAAAGGAACAAAAAAAAAAAAAAAAAAAAAAAGCACTTTGAGATTTCTCCCTGACACGAGACTAGCCCACTAACTCACACTATAAATTAAACAATGGAACCACTTAAATGCACAGAGTTGACAGTCTCCGGGAATGAGAGGCCATGTCAGACCTGCACATGCCAATAATCCTCAAAGACTGAGGAACATGCCAACACAAAAAGGATTTATAGCAAGCAGATCAAGTCACAAATCTCAGAGAGCAACCCTCAGCTTTGCTCCAAGTGAGAGCTAAGATCAGAGGGGATAAGGCAGCACCACCTTGGGGGTCACCTTGAGGTTCGCTCAAGGAGCAGAGCACAAAGCCCCTGAAACCTCAGCTCTGAGACTTGCTGCCTGGTTACAGGAAGGAAAGGGGAAAGTGTCCTATGTGGGAACCACTCCCTGGGCTCCCAGAGAAGAGAGATGAATGAGGAGAAGATGGCTCTTGCCCTCTGAGCTCTGCACACGCACCTTTCCTTGAAAAATTGTGGTACCCAAACTCAGCCTACCCTTCACACCAAACATTTCCCTCCCACAGAACCAGTGCGCTTTGTGCTCCTGTCTCTGTGACTCTTTGCATGGGACCTGCTCTCTGGAGTGGAGAGGAGCAGTGGAGAGCCTCACCTTCCCTCTTCATGCCCATGACCAGGCACTTCTGGTAGCGACAGTATTGGCAGCGGTTGCGCTGACGCTTGTCAATGAGGCAGTCTTTATTATCCCGACACGTGTAGATGAGATCTTTCCTTATGGTTCTCTTGAAGAACCCTTTGCAGCCTTCACAGCTGTACACTCCGTAGTGCTTTCCTGATGACAAGAGAATAGTCCATGGGTTGTTCTTGTGTCTATTCAGATCTTTCATTCCAAAGAAGCCCATGGCTGTCCCCCAGGGAAACAGGCATATCCCCATAGCACAGCTACAGAACACAAATAACAGCTCCCAAGAGAAAGCAAGCTGGATCACAGGATCCGAACCAAGAGTAAATAACCTCTCCTTGTGTCTCCCCTCTATCTCCAACTCCAGATAGCATTATTAGAAAATTCCTGACCTAAGATTTCATGTACATTTATTTTATCAAGGCAACTCTTGGATTTGGTTAAGCAAACATCCCACATTAGCTCCAGATCTTAGTGTACATAACAAAATAAGATGTTTGTTTGCCATACATTATCTAACAGGAGAAAAGCCTTCATTTAACCAATGTTTCTCCAAAATCAAGACCCAAAGTCTTAGGAAACCCACTAAAAATTATCATCTTTTAACATAAACTAAAACAGAACCCCAATCTAATAAATTGGTTTATGATCTTTATAGTATATTATGCTCGATCTTGAATTAGGACATAAATTTCTGATAGAAAGTCATTTTGCTTGCTCTAGGACTATCGATTGTGTGTTTCACTGTGTTTGTGATGTACAGTTATCCCTGGCAGGAAGGACCAGTTTGTATCAGGAAATTGCCTGCTGCATCTGTTCCCACACAGGTGTCATGAGTCCCTCATAATGCTCTTTCTGAGGAAATTCTTCTTAACGCTAAATCCAAGACAGCTATACTCACTTGACTGAAATTGTAGAACTTAAAAATATAAGAGAGCAGAGCAAAACACATTTAGGTCTGATCCTGGAATATAAAATGTGGATCCGTGTATCCACAGACTTAACTTCTAATTCTGTCTATACTGATACTACAGTGCATTAGAAGTCCCTGAGAACTAGCAAAGGTAACTTCATGCACCCCAGAGCTGACCTTTCAGAGGAGGCACCCCAAGATAAGAAAAGTGGCTAGCAACAGCCGGCCTGATGAAGCCAGCCCATGCGGAATTTCCTGAATTCACGGCAATGTTAATTATGAGATTTTATTTTGAACCTAAAGAACCTAATGCTTTCATCTCTGAAACACTTTGAGAAACATGACCTTAATTTGGCCACACTATGAAAGTCATTCTGTGGCTTTGTTATAACGCAAATGAACCTATCAAACCTTCAACTAAAATAACCAAAACAGAGAAAATGGCCTGTCAGGCTGTGACCAACATTCAGTTACAGCAATGGCCATGTCTGCACGATTTGAAAATGAGTTTTGAAAGCAAGTAGATGTTAGCCAGGAAACTAAATAAGTCCCAGGGCCCTGTCACTTTCAAAGGAGAGGCACTCTGTAATAGTTTTGATGATAGAGAACAGGAAGACACTCAGCCCTTGGGGTCTGCTGTAAGCTGCCTTGTCTTCTCATTCTTTTAACTAATTTGACCACAGGGTCTTACCAGGTAGCCCAGGCTCACTTCAATCTTAAGATCCTCCCACTGCAGCCTGCCCACTACCTACTGAGTGCTGCTGTGACAAGCAGGCGCCAGCACTACCTGGCTTTCTCATTCAGCAAATCAAAGATGCAAATATGGTAAGAACTGGTGGGCAAAGAAGTGGGAGCAAGAAAAACGGAGTGGAAGGGAATGAAGTCAAGAAAGAGACAATCTTGGCAGAAGTAGAAGAGCATCAGAGAAGATAGGCTCCTGGAAACACATTTGCTTGTGCCATAAAAGCATGCTAAAAAGCTAGCATGTTGAGAGAGGCGATGTACTCATACTGAAGGGTTTATCTTTCTTAGGGATATTATGGAAAGATTTTTACTTTCCTTTTGCACTTTTATGACTTCCAATTTTTATTGGTTTTATAATTATTTATTTGGAACATTTTATGATTACAAGAAATAAATTTTAACAAACTAAAGAAAACCTAGCATGAGCTATTTGATCACCATACAGCTTCTCAGTCCTAGATACATATGCGCTTGTGTTACTCCAGAGAGAAGTTTCTGAAACATTTCCAGTGGATCTAATCCTTCAAGATGAAAATTGTATTTAGAAAATTGTATTCATTGAGATGGCAGGCTCTGGGCCACATATAGGCTGGACCATCCTAAAGGGCTTTTAATTTCATTAGGTACAAACTATGCAGGGAGCAGGGGAGCGAACCCCTTCTCTGGGACCTTGTCCCATGGGGCCCATACCTGAGGATCTGTCCCCACAGATGGCACAAATGTGTTTCACCAGAGACCCAGGGCTGGTGGATGGGTAGTTCATGTTTCCAAGCCCGGGCAGACCTGGTAAGGGCTTGATGTCCTCGGAACTGCTGACACTGTTGACCACATTTAGCTGCAAGAGAAAAAACAATACAATAAAGCAGAGTCAGGGGAAGCACAGGCCTCAAGGCCTCCCACATCGAGGGTGCACTTGAGAAGAGACAAGTTTCATTTCTAGAAGCAGTTTCCAAGGACAGAGTTCCCAAAACTGCCAGTCTGTGACGGGAATTTAAAGCCAGGGGAAGTGCATGAGAGGAACAAAATCACTTCTAGAAGCTAAAACCTAAGCTGAGCACCAGAGCACATCTCTATTATGCTGCCTGCTTTCTTATTTTATTCACAAGTTTTACTTGAGTGAAACCAAACTGCACACCCAGGACTATGTCAGCTGTGCGATTTTAAATTTTTTATCAACTACCAACTGCCAATTCAGCAGTGATCTAGGAGGAGCTATGGCCCTCAGGCAAGACATGCAGACTCCGAAAGCCAAGCAAATCCATCCATTAGTCAATCAGTAGGCATTCCCCCAGTGCTTACCATGCCAGCAAATAAAAATGCACATCCAGGGGTGCTCATCAAATGGAAGAGGACAGGTGTACTGGTCTCTATGAGCCCACTGAAAACGCTAACCCCAATGCCCAAGACAGTGAGTAGCACCATATGGGCAGAATGTTCATTTGTTTGTTTTGGAACTTGGTAATAACTAATAGGTGAGCTCATGAAAGTATAAAATCTGTACAGGCAAAAACTGGACGTGCTTTGTCTTCCCAGTTCCTAATGTGGGACCCAGAACTCAGCACAGAACTAGTGCATGTGGAAGTCCAAATAAGTAAGCTCGCTTTTCCTGGTGTCCATCCTGTGTCCCAAGTTAACATGGGCTCCCCAAGTTTCCTGTTGGCTTTGGGGAGGTGACCAAGCTGCTGACACTCAGTGTTCTATAGCCATCAGAGAAAATAAGTTAAATAAATATGAGGCAGTCATTCAGTCAGAAACAGGTGTGTTCCAGCTCTACACCCAAGTCCATGGGTGCAGAGGGGTGTTCTCAACATTGCCAACAGGAGACATAAAACCTAGACAGCCTGTCTCTCCATCTTCAAAGACGTGCCACCTCCTTGTGAAGTCAGAACATGCACAATAAGAACCAGTACAATGGGGGCTGTGAAGATGACTCAGTCAGTAAAGGACTTGAGGACCTGAGTGCAATCCCTAAAACCCATACTTCAAAAAGGAAGTCAGGGGCTGGAGAGATGGCTCAGTGGTGAGGAGTGCTTACTGCTCTTCTAGAGGACCCAAGTTCATTTCTGTTTTAGTTTGTTTCATGTTGCTGCAATAAAACTCCAACCAAAAACAACTTGGGGAGAGAAGGGCTTGTTTCAGTTTACAGGTTGAAGTCTAGCATGGAGGGAAGCCAGGTTGGGGGTTCAGGGCAGAATCTTGAAGCAGAGATCACAATAGAATGTTGTTTATTGGCCCCATTCCCCCTGGCTTGGTCCAGCTACCATTTTTTTTGTTGTTGTTGTTGTTTGTTTGTTTTTGTTTTTATGAATTCTGAGGATTGAACTCAGGTCCTCATGTTCATAAAGCAAGCACTTCACTGACTAAGCCATCTCCTCAGTCCACTCAACTACCTTTTTTCTTTAACATTTTATTTTTATTGTTTTTATTTTATGTGTATGAGTGTATCGCTAGCATGTATGTAAGTGCACCTGTGTCATCCATGCCCACAGAGGTCAGAAGCGGGCATCAGATTCCCCTGGGACTAGAGTTATGAATGGTTGCTACCTGCCACATGGGAATCAAACCCAAGTCCTCTGTAAAAGCAGCCAGGGCTCTTAACAGCTGAGCCATTTCTCCAGCTCCTCAGTTACCTTTCTTATACAGTTCAAGCCCAGCTGCCTAAGAATAGCACCACCCACAATCACCTAGACCCTCCTATACCAATTAGCAACTGAGAAAATGCTCCCACAGACATGTACACAGACCAATTTGATGAAGGAAGTTACTCAGTTGAGGTTTCCTTTTTCCAGGTATGTCTAAATTTGTGTCAGGTTAACAAAAACTATGACAGGTTCTCAGCACTAACATGGCAGCTCACAACCATCTGTAACTCCAGCTCCAGAGAATCCAACACCCTCTTCTTGACTCCAAGGGAACCTGCACACTTATGAACATACCCACATACAGACACATGCAGACGCATAAATAATAATAAAATAAAATCTTTTTCAAAAAGCTAGATGTGGTAGAATGTGCTTATAATCCCAGCACTGGGGAGGCACAGGCAGGTGGACTCCTGAGACTCTCTAGACGGCTAGCCTAGCCAAACTAGCAAGTTCCAGGTCACTGAGACACACACACGCGTGCACACACACACACACACACCACCACCACCACCACCATCACCACCACAAAGGACAAGTCAAAAAGAAGGCGGTACAGAGTCTGCACCTGTATAAGAATCCTAGAAATATGTGGAGAGCATCCGAGGGCTCACAACAGGGCCTACTGACTTCCCCAGATCTCCATGAATTTTGAATCATGCTGTCTAACTGTGTGCCTGTAATTCTCAAACTGAACCAGAGGCAGGATTTTCTTCTCTATTCCAGGACTTTGGTACACATAGACTGATCAATAAAACATAACCTTCAATAGAACCTGAGTTAGGTTCCTTCTAAATTTACTAGCTTTCCAACTCACTAAGAAATATTTGTTGAGCATGGGAAATAGGCAGAGGCTCTGGATTAAATACCAAGAAAGGCACAGAAAAGGAAAGATAGACTTTAGTGTCTTGCTTTGAAATCAACCATTAGGAATTTTTAAAATTAATTTGTATAATAGGTGAAAACACATGTCATGGAAGAATTCCCCTCCTTTTTTTACATGAAGCTAAGACATGTTATCTGGGACCCACACCTAGCATCCCATCCTGTTTATGTATAGTACAGAGATTCCATACCTGGGAACTTTGAGAAAAAAATATTGTCTAGGCCAGTGCCTGGAGATCCTGACAAGGGTGAGTCTGAGCAAGGGTCTTGGCAGTGGTATTTCTACAGCTTTAACAGATGATGCTGACACACCATTTCAGGTTAAGAATCACTTAGCATGATGTGAATTGTGTCAGTGTCTATTGTAGACAACAACTTTTCCTGAGTGCCTCAAGAACATAGCAATTAGCAGTTGGGTCTATCTCATAAAATGAAGGCATTTAGTCAGATAAGTCCCCAGAGGGAGCCTTGTATCAGCTCTGTCCCCAAATCCTCAGGTGGATAAGAAAGATCTCATGAATAAGGAGGCCATCATCACCTCAAGAGGACACTATCATTCCTCTGCCTCCCACCTAGCTCTGCAGCTGTAGCCAGCAGTGACCACAAAAGAGTGATTGCTGCATTGAGACCATCTATGGGAAGCTAGCTCAGCACCAATAAATTCTGAAAACCCCCACAACAACCCAAAAAAGGCTCTCTCTCTCTCTCTCTCTCTCTCTCTCTCTCTCTCTCTCTCCCCTGCTCCCCCATGTGGGGGGGCATATATGTGTGGTAGCATACCCAGGTATGTGTGTCTGTGCATGTCAGAGGCCAGAGGAGGACATCAGGTGTCCTGCTCTATCATTCCACCTTTGTTCCCTTGAGACAGGGTTTCACACTGAGCCTGGAGCTAGGCTGGTGACCAGCAAGCCCCAGTGATCCTCCTGTCTCCCATAAAGCTGAAGTTATATGTGTTCATGTTACCACACCTGGCTTTTTATGTGGGTCTTGAAGATCTGAACTCAGGTCTTCATGCTTACCCAGAAGTGTTTTTATCCACTAGGCCATCTTCACAATCCCCTATTTTTCATATGAAGAACACTGAGCCTCACCATGGTGGTTTTTCCATTTGCTCATTTAGAAACACCATGGAGGTGCTGCAAGCAAGAAGATGCAGGCATTGCCTGGAGGGACTACCACTGAGAGTAAAGATGGCTGGGAGAGTTAGAAGGAAAGACACACAGAAATCAGAGAAGACTTCCTAAAGGGTGCAACACTTGAGCTGAGACCTAACAGTCTTCAAAAGTGGATAGGCCAATGATGGGTACAAAGGCCTAAAGGGAAGCCTAGGGACTTATGGCAAGAGCATGTCCAGAGTGTATATGTAATTGGTAGATGAGGCTGAGAAGTAGGCTGTGCAGAGCCTGGAGGCTCAGTGGCTTGGCTAGGATGACTTTCATCTGGGAGACAATCAGGGGCCACTAGAGATGCTGAGCAGAGAAATCATACCCTTCAAACCCAGGCTCAGTGAGGCACCAGAGGCAGCAGAAAGACGGGGAGAGATACCTCACCAGATCTAATTGGCTAAAGCTAGGTGCCCAAGCTCCCAGATCCTAGGTCATCATTCTTCCTCCATGCTGTTCTCTGGGGCCAGCAGAAGACCCTCAGTCATTATCGGCCCTTGTAGCTCCCTGCCCCACCTCCTTGTCCAGGAACCACAAAGGAGCAGACAAGTTTTCAAGCATTCTCTCCACAGTTTGAGTCAGAAGCCCCTCTCCCACTCCTCCTCTTCATGAACTTGAATGGTGGTGGGACAAAACATTCGGGCAGGTGGACTGATGTTCTTTCTTCTGTCCCTCCCTCCAGATGGTTTGGGGTTTGTGTGGACTCAAATGATGGTGGAAAGAATGGAAGGCAGCTGACATCAGAGTACAGACCTATTAGCTGCCTGGCCCCAGAGTCCCTGAACCTTGGCTGTTTTATTCCATTAGATGCAGCCCTGCTGAAACAGGCACTTTAGAGCTGAGACTCAGCAAGCGGTCTGACCTGTCACCACATGCTGGCTGGCTGCTCCTTGAAAAGAGGACAGAAGCGCACTGTCTTATCTGACTCTACCAAGGGCCAGTGCTTCCAGAGTACCTCTGGAGCCAGGTCAGAACATTGTCTCCCACATTTCTGAGCTGTCTTCAGCTTCGCATGTTCAGGCTGGAGGCAGTGTTCCTACTCCAGGGTGCAAACCCCACATGTAGCACACCTCTAGTCTTGTAATGGGCCTGGACCACCACACGGATTCTAGTGTGGACCTGCCCCTTCCTCATTATGGGATCTTGACCAGATTCCATCACTTAGCAGGGATCTCATTTCTAGGCTAGATCAGTAGTTTTCAAATTGTGTATCTGTGTGCGTGTTTGTGTGTGTGTGTGTGTGTGTGTGTGTGTGTGTGTGCGCGCGCGCGCGCGCGTACCCCAGATATGAAAAGGTTAAGGCTTCTCTGCTGAGCCTGTTTCAACCAAGTCTGTTTTGTCTCACTCTGTACCACAGGCTAGTTTTAAACTCATAATCTTCTTGCCTCTGCCTCCCAAGCACTGGGATTACAAGTGAGCACCACCATGCTAAACAAATCTGGTTTTCACTGACATTATTGGACTTCCAAATACATTTTCCTTTGAAGATTCTATAGCTTGATTTTTTTATCATCAAATTGAATAACCTTTTTTAAAAATTGTTATTTTAAACTTTTATGTGTAAGAGTGTTTTGCCAGCATGTAAATGTACTATGTGTCCATAGATGCCAGAAAAGGGCATCAGATCTCCTAGAAGTAGAGTTACGGATGGTTGTTAGCTGCCATGTGGGTGCTGGAATCCAAACCTAGGTCCTCTGAAAGAGCAGTCAGTGATTTTAAGCATTGAACCATCTCTCCAGTCCAGAATTAGATGACCCTTAAAGTCTATTCTAGCTACAATATTGCAATTTTTATTGAAGTAGTCACTATAAAAATGCAAAGATTTCAGAGGATAACTCAGCTGTCAGTAAATAGCTAAGCAGAAATCAGTAGGGCTAGCGCCCAGGTCAGGTAACAAGAGTTAGCAGGGGAGGGGGAGGAGGGAGACTCCAAAAATTTGTAAAGCCTTTTCACAGTCCAGCCAACAGAATTATACTGACAACACACACACACACACACACACACACACACACACACACAAATCTATAACCTAGATGCAAAGCGTGTATCATCTCAGTTACACATTTGGTGTCTGAAAAATTGCCCACTCTACTAAGATGCTCCCAAAGGCAGGAACTGAATCTTATATTTTTTTGTATTTCTAGTACCTAGTCCTGAGCATGGTCCCTTGAATGCTGGTTGAAAGAAACTTTTCTAGAACCTTTTAGAAACACAGAACATCTGAATCAAGGATCAGTTAGGTGTACAGTGTATATCACGCAGCAATAATAACACAACAATAATAATAATAGTAATATCATTTGACTTCCATAGGGCATTACACACCTTAAGAAGTGTTTTTCAAATCTACATCTCCTTTGATGTTCATAAAAATCCCTGTGGGGTAATCAGGGCAAGCATGTGTACTTCACAGTAGAGAAAATGAAACTCAAACAGAAATGAGCTAAAGTGGTTTGTAAAAGGTCACCCAGTGCCGGCTGCTTGGTGCCAGCTCAATGCTCCTCAGTCTTCAAGAGCAAAAACCCAAAGAGTGCAGAAAGAGCAGAAAAAGCAGAGTTGGAGACCCTGTCTGCTGCCCACACAGCACTCCTCCCCTCCACACCCCCAGGTCAGACTCACAGGTCAGGAAAGAGCATGCTTCTGTGGGGAGTCCCCCCACAGAGCAGTGCTGAGCAGAGAAGGCAGGATGTACAGGGGCTCTCTGCCCACAGCCTCAGAATCTGGGTCCCCGTGGCGAACACCGAGGTCTTTCGTCTTGTGTCACCTGGTTAGTTGGTAAAGTTCTTTTTCGTGTGGTTCCGGAGCCCAAGCCCGGAGCACTGCTTAGCGTCTGAGGCTGCTTCACCAGCACTTGGCAAGCTTAATATAGCTCTCAAAGCCAAACTTGGCCTCAGCCTCCGCACACAGGCCACAGTTGGCTAGTTCCAAAGTTTTCAGCTGACCTTTCAACCCCGATCCCTCTGTACAGGCATATGGTCCAGGAACAGCGGCCCTGCCACTCACACGGCTGTGGCGATGAATTTATTGGCCAGGTCTGGCTTGGTCAAAAGATTCTACTGTGGTTTCTAAAAGCAACCTCAGAGGGACAGTGGCTGCCTGCTTTTTACCCACGGGCCCTGCCACTCTCTCCCAACTCACCCTGGCTTATATGTCTTCATAGATACAGTGATTTCTATTTGAAACTATCTTGCTTATTCCTTAGGTTTTGTTTGACTGTTCAGCCACTTTTATGCTCCCAAACCAGGGTGGTTTCAAATAGTATCTGTGCATAGCAGGTCTTTACAGTTATTTTATTTATTTATTTACTAATTTATTTTATAGTGTTCAGACGTGTGTGTGTGTGTGTGTGTGTACATATGCACACAGGCACACTCCTATCTGTGGGGACCAGAATTCAACCCTCATGTGTCATTCCTCAGGAACCATCCACCTTGTTTTTTGAGACAGGGTCTCTCATGGAAATCTGGAGCTCACCAATTAGGCTAGACTGGTTGGCCAGTGAGCCCTAGGGATTCACCTGTCGCTACCTCTGCAGTGTTGAGATAATAAGGACAGCGACCACATCCAGCTTTATACATGAGTACTGGGGACTCAAGTTTTCATTCTTGCTCCTCAAGTACTTTGCTCTCTCAGCCCTATGTTCTTGTTTTTTGAGACAGGGTTTCACTCTGTAGCCCAGATTGGCCTGGACCTCACTACACAGCTCCCCAAGCTGACCTTCAACTTGCAGGCCTCTTCCTACCTCAGTGTCCAAATATTGAGATTACAGACATGAGCCACCATAACTGGCATAATTATTTAAATGAGCAGAAACGCCCTTTGTAAAACCCAACTTTCACCCTCAAACTGAAAAGTCTCTGTCCAACTACCAGGCTTTGACTCTCCAGCCTGGAATGTGTTTATAGAAAGGAAAGTAAATAAACAAACCTTACTTACTCTGGAAGGCAAGAAGTGGAATACATATTCCACCTCCCCACTGGGGCCTCTGAGGGTGGAGCACATATTATTAAGCAGTTCATAAATCCTTTCACCGCTCCCCTTGTATTGAACCCTTGCGTGTTAGCACACCTGCACGCATGCACTCACGCGCATGCACACTCGACATTGTAATTTATCTGCATGCTGTGGCAAGCTCCTCCTACATAAGACTTCTTGGATGGCAGGATAAGGAGTATAAGGACTTGTCTCACAGGATTTTGGATGCTAACAATTACCAGAATCCGCAAAGCACGTTGGCAAACATGTTCTGGGACTGCTGATGCTTCCGTCTGAAGACCCAGGAAGAGCCAATGTTCCAGTTCAAGACCAAAGGCAGGAAAAGATGGCTGGAGAGATGACTCGGTGGATAAAGTGCTTGGTGCACAAGCCTGAGGACCTGAGTTTAGACATGCCCAAGCTGGGCATGGTGGTGTGGGACACCAAGGACAGATTCACTAGTATGCTATGCCCATCTGAAGGATGGGCATCATAATCCAATGCAGATTTGTGGGTGGAAGATAAATATTTGTTTTTGTGAGCTTCAGTGACTTGAGGATTGTTTTTATTACACAGCATTATTGCAGCAGCAACCAACCACTCTAAAAGGGGAAAGATGGTAACCCTTTCTTTTTGTTATTAGTTGTAACTGTGTGCATATGGCGGCGGGGGGCGGGGGGAGTGGATTTGTGCATGTGAGTGCAATGCCCAAGGTAACCAAAAGAGGGTGTTGGATCCCCTGGAGCCTGAGTTACAGGTCATTGCAAGCTGCCAATGAGGGCAGTAGGAATTGAACTCAGGTCCTCTGGAAGAAAAGTGTGCTTTGAACCACTGAGCTGTCTTGCCAGCCCAAGGATAACAATCTTAGTGTGGCATCACTAGAAAGGAGGAAAGGGCATCTGGCCATCCTGGCTCCACAGAGCAGTGGTCCAACTCTGCCCTATATGTACGTCTTCTCCTCCTCTGCATCAGGAGACACTCCGAATTAAAGTCAAGTTTTCTTCTTGACATACCATGGATGTATGTCTGCCATAATCTAGATTTGTCTATGTGCCATACCTGTCTATTTTCCCCCTCAGTTGACAGCTCTTAGCAAAGACCTGCACTGAACATCTCTGTATTCCATGAGAGCTTGTGATATCTCATTGGTTAGATATACATTCATGTAATATGCATGTGCACATGTATGCACTCGCATGTGGAGGCCAGAGGTGGATATAGGATGTCTTCCTTAGTCACTTTCTCCATATAATATTTTTTGAAGCAGAGTCTCTCCCTGAACATGAAGCCTACCAATTGGCTAGACTGACTGGTCAGGAAACTCCATGGAGCCACCTGCCCCCACTTCCCCAACATTAGGATCATAGACATGTGTCACCATGCTCTGCTTTTTATATAGGTTCTGGGGATCCAAACTCAGTTCTTCATGCTTGCATGGTAAGCACTTCACTACCTGAGTCATCTCCCCAACCTTCTAGACACTCTTTATTGGATGAAAAATGTGAAAAGTTTCCACAAACACCTCTAAGGGATGCTGAAATCACAGCTGTCAAGCCCACCAGGGAAATGACCTTCTGATCAGAGTCTCTTAGACCACAAGTTTTTGTCAGGTACCCCAGCTTAAAGGCACAAACAGGGAGGTCCTGCAAGAAAGCAGTCTACAGAGGTGATGCAATTGCTTCAGCAAGCCCATGGTGAGCACTCACTGAGGGGTACAGCTCAAGCTGTCTGTCTGGTCTGTGTTCTACTCCAAGAGCACCCTCAGGCTGTGAAGATGGCTAATCCATCTTGGAGAGAAAGAACACCTACCTGAGAGCTAGGTGGGGCCACCAAATTGATTCCTGGAGGGGCTGCCAGTGATCCTGAGGGTGGACCCATGGCAGAAGTGATGACTCGATATGGAGAGCCCAGAGCATTGAGGGGTGTCCCCACAGCACTCAGTGTTCGTGGGGCACTCACTGGGGTGTCTGTGTAGCTGGGGTGACTGTCCATTGGCTTCCCTGTGGACAAGACTGCCGACGGACTCATGGATGTGGAGCCAGTGTGGCCAGGGGAGCCTGTGAAGAGAAGAGCATAGGTCATGAGGGGTCAGGGAAACCAAGATAGGGCACCTGTGGAGACAGAAGCCCAGCCCACCTCTAATTTTGTTTCCTGGTTCCTTCCCCTCTTTTTGGTCACCTCTGTGAACCCTGGCTGCTTGTACCTACACCAAGCTAGTAGTATAAAAGCCAACAAAGCTCAAGGATAGGAGGAGGCCTAGCCTGGGACAGGGGTACCTATGTGTCTTAGTTCTCTAAGCCTCTACCAGGAATCCACTGTAGCCCGAACTGGATGCACAGCAAGTGCAACAAGCCCATGGCCCACAAGTGCCCAGGGCCAGTCAGTCAGAAAGGGCAAGTCAGTGCCCATGTGAGGGGTGCAGTGAGCAGGTGCCCAAGCTTCACCAAGACTTCCTACCTTAAGCTCATATAGACTAAAATCTGTTCATTCATATGCAAATTGGAATGACTGAGCATGGCTTTATGGCCATGGTGGCCACCCAGAGAGACAAGTGCAGACAGGCCTACAGAAAGCACTTCCGTTGCTAGGGAGAAGATGCAGTGGCTAGTGCTGTGGAAGGGGTTCTGGGAGGATGAGCACATAGCAGAGGGGCTGGGTGGTTACCATGAACCCATGTTCTCCTGTAGCCAGAGCTAACTCAAGATGAAAGAGAAGGGTACCTTCCTGTCATCTTGAGAGCCAAGCATGGAATATTCTCTCCAGAGAAGAGGAGTTATAAACCTCAGGATCTGCAAAATAGAGTCTAGAAAACACAACAGGGCAGCCTACCTTGTATTGCAACCCTGGACCCTGCAAGGAAACATGCAAAATTAGTGTACTTTGGCTCAGCCATGAACCATGCTGTCTACAAGAGTAGAAAGAGAATTTTGAATGGTCAGTGAATGTGGTATGCAGGAGAAGTTGTCCAATCCCAAACTCATCCTGTGAATTACATGCTGTGTCAAGCAGATAGGGTCCTGAGCAGTAAGTCATGCACTTGACTACAAAGTTCACTATTCACTCAACAAATACTAGAATGTGCCCGCTACATGCAGAACACTCTCTTAAACCTTGGGAGACACCCATGGGCAATAACCATAGTGTTAGAAGTAGGATGCAGGGAGGAACTTGCTTCTTTGAAGTTCTGGGTGTGAGCAGGGAGTGTCAAAAATATAACTCTGGAACTGTTCTCAAAGAAATACCCACTGGAAAAATGTCTCTGGAGTTTCTGTTGGTCTTTCTGCTTCTTTAGTTAAGATCTGCCTAAGGGAAGAAGTTACTCTGGGGCAGAGGAGATGGCTCAAAGGGTAAAGGCATCTACTACCAAATCTGACAACCTGAGTTCAATCCCTGGAACCCACATGGTGGAAGGAGCGAACTGACTCGTGCAAGTTGTCTTCTGACCTCCATACATGCACTGTGGTATGTACATACACAATAAACAAACAAACAAATAAACAAATAAATAAATGGAAAAACTCTGAAACAAGTTATTCTCATGTCCCATGACCTTTTAGTCACTCTACCAATGCAGTTTCAGCCTATTGAAACAACTGTTTTATACAGTAAAATATTCCAAGACCCCATGTTCTAAGTAACACCACCAAGATGACCCATGTGCCAGAGGCCCAGTGGGCAATAACAAAGGTGTTAAGGTTAACTAGCCAGACATTCATCCTGTGTCTCAATAGCAACAGACATTTCCAGATGGTAATTAGTTTTATCCTAAGCCTGAGGTCTCACTTTTGTCTAAAATTCTTATTCTGAAGATAACTATTCAAACTTTATAAAAAGCAATAAATTGATTTTAGAGAAAGACCAAGGGTAAAGGTTCATCATCATCATCAACTTGACTGGATTTGGAATCACCTAGGAGACATACCTCTGGGCATGTCTGTAAGAGTGTCTCTGGAGTGGTTTAACTGAAGAAGGAAAAGCCACCCCAAATGTGGGTGTGGTGTCACCATCCCAGGAGCTGGGTGGGGTCGTGATCTGAATAAAAAGGGGAAAGGGAAAATATCAGGTGAGTGCCACTGTTTCCCTTTCTCTGCTTCCTGATCTACTGAGATGTGAGCATGCAGCCTTCTGCCAGCGTGGATAGGGGCTGGTCTGCTGCTATGTGTTCTCTGCCATCATAAACTGAGTCCCCAGAACTGTGAGCCAAAGTAAATCCTTCCTCCCTTAAGCTGCTTCTTCCTGTGTGTCATGGCAAGGAGACAAGGAACGAATCTACCAACTACAAAGAATACTCTCTCTATGTAAATTGTGGAAATCAGTATAAAGTAGATGATGTTCAAGAAACATTGACATGCATGGGTATAAATGTAGATACTGAAGAATGGCATAAGCTGTTTCAAGGATAAAATGAGATGATACCATGAAAGCAATTTAAAATTTAAAGCATATTGTTACTGTCACCAGTAAAAATGAAGGCAATTAGACTACAAAGTGCGATGGTAGGAATGGTTGTTTGTTGCCATAGAATGCAATAGTGAACTCACATGTAGTTTTCAGTAGTCTTTAAAAAGAAGTTTGGTTCTTTTTAGGATGGCAAAATGGCTCTGTGGGTAAGAGCACTTGCCATCAGTGGGACTGACAACTTATTTCAATCTTCAGGACTCACATGGTGGAAGGAGAAAACTGATTCCCACAAGCTGTCTTCTGACCTCCACACATGTGCCATAGTACATGTGTGACACACACAAATAAATAAATGTCATTTAAAAAATTTTTTAGATGTGGTTTACTTCTAATGAATCCATGACCCAGAAGGGATAGTCAATTTATAACCACATTTTCAAAAATAAAATTCAAAGAGACAAATGAATCTTACACAAATGCTTTTTAGAACTCTGCCCCTCACAATGACCCAGGAGTTCTTAGAAATAAATAGCTTTTCTTTTAGAAAAATAGGGGAACAACGACTTATTTGATAAAAGCATTTCTTAATGGAAAATTAGTCCATTCTCACAGACACAAAAGCCAGGCTGTTGAGGCATTTCCATCAGCCTCTCTCACTCCCTCAGCCCTTCAAACTCACATGGACACTACACCCTATACTGAAAGGCAACACAGTGTTCCAGAAACTTGATTGTCTTTACTTTCTTTTCCTTCCTCACTAAGCCCTTTGATTAAGCTATGAATAAGAAATTTTTTTAATCAACAGGTTCCTATTTGCAGCAAACAAAAGATGGTAGCTTGGCTCCCTTTGAAAAATGAATGCTATTTATTGTGTATTGATCTGGCCAGGATGTACCTCACCAAAATCTGAAATCCAGTTTCTCTCTGATGTCCCTCTAGTCTTGAGCTTCCCTGTGGGTTGAAGTACCTGTCCCTCCCAAATTCAAATTGAAACATCAGATGGTCTGAGTTTATACCACTGGCTGAGGGAACCATGTCATCACCAGCTGGGCCTTGTCAGGACTTCAAGCTGTTTGGCAAGTGTATCTTGAGATGCTGAGTATCACCAGGAGCCAAATCTGAGGCAGGAATCTGTAGAGTACAGAACACTATCATGATTTCCGAAGTTTCTGCATGTGTCGTGGCACTGCGGCCTCAGGGATACGGTCTTATGGAGGAGACACGAGTTCTGAAGTCAAAACACCCCAGGTTGGACTCCAGGCTCCACTTTCCAGCCATGTGGAATCTTTTCTTTAAACAACTGAAATTTATTTTATCATAATTCCGTCGGCTGAAAGTCCATCAGTGTGTTGACATTGTTGCTGAGTCTTGATTCTTAGCTTTGCAAATGACCTCCTTGTTGTGTTCCCTGCCTACCTGCTCTGTGGGTTTCTTCCTCTTCTTAGAACCTAGGTCCTGATGGATTAGGGATCCACCCTTAAAGTCATGGAAACTTGAAACAGGAACATGACTTCTCTGTTAAACTGCCCGGATTGACACCAACTGTGCCTGCTTCAGAGAATCATAGAGTGCCTGAGGTCAACAGCCCAGTGACAGCCGCTGGAAACTCTTACTACTCTATAAGGAGTGTGGAGTGTGAGGAAGGGACTGTACTACAGCCAAGTTGAGAGCCACAGCAGGTTATGAATGTAAGGACTAAAGGGCTAAGGGTGTAACTCAGTGGTAGAGCACTTTGCTAGGATGCCCAAGGCCTCTGGTTCAATCTCTGACACTGAAGAAGGAATTATCCCAATCCAGATGGATATTAAAGGTTCAGGTAAGAGTTGCCATTGCTAAGCATGGATACAGGCACATCAGGGGTTTTAATATAGAATTTTCTGAATGGCTGGCTCATAAATAACAACTACTGTGAGTCCACAGTGCCCCTCTGTCATGCCAGCCACACCAATGCCTTCCCTAGGTACCCTCATATAGTCTCATACTTCAAACTGACACACTCGTCCTCTGGGATGACTTCTCTTCAGAATTCCTGGAGCCCTACCAGTACCCACCACCCCTTCCTCTAAACCAGGCTTGTCTAGCCTGCAACCCATGAGCCACATGCATTCTAGGAGAGCTATGAATGTGGCCCAGCACATTTATAGACCACAAAGTCAGGTCACAATGTCAGAAGGTTGGATGTGTCTGCTGCAAACGATCATCATCGTACCCAGCACTGAACCTGGAACATGGGAGACACTCAAAATACAATTTGTTGACTATAATTTTTGTTCATTATTATATCTAACTAGATGTATGATTCACCAACAGAAATTATTTGCATAGGAAATCAATGGTTATGAGAGTCAGAATTTGTGGGAATCTGAACAATAAATGCAGTGTGTTGTATGTATATGACGAAAAGAGAGAGATGCGGGAGGGGAAGGGGAAAAGGAAAAGAAAATGGGAGAAGTGAAGAGGAGGAGTGAAAAGAAGAGAGAAAGAAATAGATACTAAGAAAAAAGAGAAGCCGGGTACTGAGAAGTACAGAATTCTTACCAAGGTAAGGAAGTTGCTTAGCAACCACATCCTCAGCCAATAAAAGTGAAATGTCAAGCCTGCAGTCTTTCTAACTGGCCAGACAAGGGAGCAAACGACTTGATGTGTCCACCCCTTT